GAGCTCAACTTGCTGATTTTATTCATCAATTGTCAAGAATCATTGGGTTTTTCAAGTTTTATCAGAAGGATTTGTGATCCCGTTTCTTTTCCCACCTCCCATTTCCTTCCCTCGGGATCCAATGACTGGCCAGCATCTATCAAAGGTGGTTTAGGACCTACTGTCTCAGCAGGCCTTCGAACCTGTTCTCCATACATCACCAAGTGTTTATTCCAGACTCTTTTTGTTCCCAAGAAAACTGGGGACTGGAGGCCTGTCATCATTTTCTCCCATCTCAATCAATTCGTTAAACTGCCCTATTTTACCATGGAGTCATTTCTCACCCTATGGTAGGTGTTTTCTCTGAGCTTATGGATGACCAAGATGATTGTCACCAATGCTTATGTACACATCCCTATCTCAACATGCTCTTGTCCATATCTTTGGTTTGTCCATCATGGGGTAGTGTATCAATTTTGTGCCCTACCCTTCAGGCTTGCTTTTGCCCCTTATGTTTTCTGTTTGGTGGTTAGAGCTTTTGCTCACCATATTCATGCTCTGGGGCTGTGATTCCACCCTTATATGGATGACTGGCATCTTCTGGCTCATTCCGAACTGGAGTCGGCCAGCCATACTTGTCAATTCCTTCACATGTCTGCTCAGGTGGGCTGGTTAATCAAATTGAAGAAGTCCTTCCTCCATCCTACCCCATATCTTGTCCATTTAGGTGCCCTTTTTGACACTCATCTCAGTCGGGCCCAACATTCTCCTCTACGACTTCATTCCATAGAATTGTTAGTTCACCACTCCCTTTTGGCTCCCTCACTTTCCGCTCATGAGGTTCTATCATTTTTGGGGACGTAGTCTTCAATGATGTCACTTCTCCCCCCCAGTCATTCATATATGTGATCCCTTCAGTGGGCTTTCCACAATCAATGGAACCTTGCTAAGAATCCCTTGACAGCTTCCATTACCCTTCATACCCTGTTGGATGATCTGCTTTGGTGGTTGGACAAGGCTCGTAGATCAGTGGGTGTCCCACTTCCTCCTCCTCATCCAGATTTACATCTGTTCACGGATGCATCCTTTCAGGACTGGGGTGCACGGGTCAATCACCAGAAGGCTTTGGGTCATTGGTCTGTGGACAAGCAGTCTTTGCATATCAACGTCCTTGAGCTTCTTGCAGTCCATTGGGCTTTGAATCACTTCCTTCCTCTCGCCAGACATTGACTGGTGATGATTCATTCCAACAACTCTACGGTGGTAGCACATATCATTCATCAAGGAAGCACCTGGTCATAATCTCTCTGTTTTTGTACATTGGAACTCCTTTATTTGGCCCACATGCAACACATTCATCTCATTGTGTACCACATTCTGGGTGCTTTCAGTCTCATAGCAGGATATGCTTTCCCACCCCCACAAAATTTATCTAACGGAGTGGTCTTTAGATCCCCTTGTATTAACCCTCTTTTGGTCTCCTGTACCTCAGCCTTGGCCTCTGGCAGTCAATGCCTGCAGCCAGGATTGATCCCACAAATTCCTTTATGTTTATCCTCCTATCCGATTACTTCTTTGGGTGGTCTCTCTCATCCGTACCACTCCGTGTTGATTCCTTCTGATCGCTATCTTTTGGCCCGCTCAACCATGGCCTCCACGATATTGGGTTATCAGGCTGCATTATACAATACCTTTCATTTTTCTTTATACTGTCAAGTTTTTGCTTCCTCTGTCCTTACCATGTTATTGCGTTCATTCCGGATTCATCATCCCCCCCCCCCCCAAAGATGGCTTAGACTTCCAGACTGTGATATTAATGTGGTCCTCCATTCCTTCACTTTACCTATGTTTGAACCTATTTCCTCATGCTCCATGTTTCACCTTTCCCTTAAAACATATTTTCAGTTTAGAGATGTCTTGAATGCATAACAAAGAAAACTTTATTTAACCCTATCGTAACAGGTCATGTGTCAAAGGCCTTGTCATTGCATTTGTTGACTTGCATTCAGAATTATAATTAACTACTGTTTTATGAATTTATGTTCACAAGTTTGGTATCAAATTTTAGGTTATAATTAAAATTTTAGTATTATATGTTAGTTAATTTCTTAATTTAAAAGTACATATTATAAAAACACAGCTAAACATTGATTTTTGTGTGTCACGTGGTATGCTGAATGCAGCACAGGTTCAAATTAGATGTTTGTAATGTCAAAATACAAAATATATAGTTTATACAAATTAGGAACTCTGATATTGACAAGGTAGAATATAATATAAGAACCTCTTATCTTTTCTATTTGCTAAGATATCGCCATGTACTGAATCACACTCCATTGCCCCCTGCCAATCTCTTTCCATTTTTTGGAAAATGTCCCTTATATACACTTACTTGTATGTATGACATAAATAACCAATCGAAAGCTCAAAATGTCCCCCTAGTGTTTTTACCAGCCATTTTGATGGGTTATTGTGTTAATTTCATTCTTTTCACACAATATTTCAAACGATAAGGTAAGTTTTTAGTGAGCTATAAATTTCATATTTATTTTAGACCCAAATACAGCTTAGTTACTACGCTTGATAAATTATAGTGGAATTGTATGGTATTGATATAGTAATTTATGATTTTTTGGTTATTTAAAATGTATATATAAAACCTACAAAAAATTTCTTGTCACATCCTCCAAGTTGGAAATATCATAAGGCTTAGCAACCTATGACAAGCAGCAAATGAGTACAAAAGTCATAACTAGAAGAGATAATTGTTTGCTTTACTTCTTTATTTACTGTTCTATGTTTTAAGAAAAAATAAGTTTAAAAACTATATATATATATATATA